AGCATTTCATTACTAAAAAAAAAGAATAGAAAAAGAAATTAATTACTAATTAATTTAATTTTAATTTAATTTTAAATATCAGACATTATACTATTACTAATTAATTTTAATTTTAACTTAATTTTAATCAAACATTATACTAACGCGAGAAAAAAAAAATCTCTCTCTTTTTTTTAGGGAAGATCTGGTTTTTTTGTTTTTTTATGTTTCGTGTAATCGAAAATCTAATTCGATTCGTTACCTAAAAAAAAAAATTAAAAATTCGCGTAACAAACAATATATAACAAGTTTTTTTTTTTTGGTGTAGAACGCGGAAATGTGGGAAAAAGCTGTCAATTAGTAATTGAGTAAATAGATTTACGATGTTTTTCTGGTTTTATTTTTTGGATTACACAAGATTTGCGGTTAAAATTTTCCGCAGCGAACTTATTTGAACTTCATTCAAAATAATAATTATAATTTATTATACGTGATTATACTTTAATTGTTAATTAATAGTGTACATATATTAATATAATATTATTAACATTAAATTATTAGGTAATTTATATTTATATTATTACATATTAATACGTATTATAAGACGTATTATATCGTATAATATAAAAAATGTCAAGCTGATGATGAAGCTGTGATTTTGAATTATGGCAAATTATGGCAAATTATGACAAATACGACAAACTTGTAGTTTTTTGACAGCTAAGCGACACGAGATAAATTTGTAAAATTTATTAATTAACGTGTATAATATTTAACAATCATTTTTGACCATTTTTAGTTAATTATTTTATTGGATAATTTATTGTAATACCAAATTGAAAATTTCAAAAAAAGCGTGTTGTCACGCGAGGACAACTGACACAACTTATACGCGGGGGACAAATAAAAAAAAAAATGTCGTGAGCTTAATATAGCGTGGCTTTTTTTTTTAACAAAGAAAAATATACATTGTGTTTGTTGATTTTACCTCCATTTACCCGGTTTAAGAAAGAAAAAATTTTTTTCTTAAACTTTTTCCAATGATCTAATCTTTTTTTGGAACAAGAAATTCCCATCGTGAAATGTGTTACCAAAAAAAAACAATATATTTTACGAATTTTTTCACATATTTCACATATAGCATATACTGGTACAACATAACAGTGATAAAAGTGTGGGAGAATAAAAAAAAAAATACGTATATGTATAAAATACATATATTATAAATACGTATATAAATGCAGTACGTATATATAAATTATTTATATTAAAGAAAAAATGAATCTTCTTGGAATACTAAAGAAGAAAAGAAAATTCGAAATTTCCTGATTTCATGATTAAGTAATGATTTCAATTTAGGGAGTTTATTGTACATCAATAAACAACAATACATTTTAAATTTTTTAAATAAACATAAAATAATATAAAATAAAATAATAATAATAATAGGAAAGAAAGAAAAAAATAAAAAATAAACAAATAAAAAAAAAACAAAACTTGTGAAAAATAAACAACTTTATTCTTTATTCTTTCGTACAAATTTATTTTTTTTTGTTATAATAAAATAAATGTTTATGAAAATTTGTGTAATCATGTGATATTAATGTGAGAAATATATCATATATCACTTGTTAGTTATATCTGCAAAAGTACGATAAATTACGATACGATTATTACGATTAACGATTAAAATGCAGGTATCCAATCAATCCAATCAATTCAACAACAATAATAATAACAATAATGATATAAGCAATTATAAATTATTAATATAAATAATGCATACAAGAAGAAAAGAATTTTTTCTGATCTGTTATTCGGATATTATCGGAGTAATCGGACATTAAACCATTTTTAATAGTGGAATATTGTTTTTTTTCAGCATATGATATTTATGTCATAATATGTAAGATAGAAAAAGAGAACATAACTATTATACATAATCGAACCAATAGAGCCTTGCATTGCCTTTTTTTTCTTTTTTTTTTTTTTTTGCGTTGCAAAAAAAATTACCTAAATTCAAATTGAATTAAAAATTGATTACCTGAAATCTCGATTGTTATTTGATTTTTTTTTTTTCCCACGTCGATACGTCATCTTACATGATTTATTATAATTTGTCTATCATATAATATTAATTAGATTTTTTTTTTCTTTAAAAAGTTTTTCGCGTTAAAAAATGATTTAATCGGTTTATGTTCTAGTCTAGATTATTATTATGATCATGTGATTTATAACGATTTAACGATTTGTACAGGTATAGCGAAATAATCGGTCACTCGACCCATTTTATATTTTTATAATGAAATATAAAGAGCTTTAACTTTTAATATTTAAAAATATAATGTAAAATAATAATAAATGATGGATGATTGTGATTAATTTGGTTCATTTAGTCATCAGTCATAGTTGTGCTATATTATAATTAAAAAATTTGTTCGAAAATGCAAATTGGTCAAATCGTTATCCATAAACGTAAAGAAAACATTGAATTATTAATTATGTACGTGAGTTTCTTACATGATTATCTCATGGAAGTTCTTTATTTTCTTTTGTACTCACCGTTGAGAAAACAACTATCCATAAAATCATTTTCGCGCCTGAATTAATGAAAAAATTAATTGGCTCATTTTTTTTTTCTTACAAACATTGAAAATTATAATGTAATATATTGTGTAACTTATTTTTTATAATACTCTATTTAAATATAAATTTTTCTGTGTATAAAAATACAATACTGTATCAGGTGTTAGGTGTTTACCTAAAGATAAACAATTATATCACGCGATTATATTTAATTAATCACTTTATATTTTAAATATATATTAATGTAAATTTTATACAAATTAATCAAATTAATGCATTAGTCTTAAATTTTGATTTTGATTTTGTAATTTACATTGCAATTTGTAATTCTAAATAAAAAACTTTTTTTTTTTATAACGATTCTAAAAATATAATTAATGTTAAAAATATAAATTTATTTTTTAATTTTCTATTTACTCTTTCTAATCATTATTATACTAATTTTTTTTACAAGAAATTTGTTTATTTTTAAAATAATAATAAAAGGATTTTATTTATCAGCCTAAAAAAACTTACAATTCTTCTCAAAAAATGCCTGAGACTTTTACAATATATTTTATATTTTACCAACTTTTGCCATTCTTTTAAACTTATATAAAAAGATTTTAAAAGTACTAAATGCATTAGATAATATAATAAATATTGAAAACTAGTACTTTAGGATTTTTTATATTATTTAAATTTAAAATAAATAGAAAAACTTAATAATTTTAGTAGAAGTTTATTTATAAATTAATAATAAATGTATTATTATAAAATAACAAGTAGTATTAAGAATTTTTTTTAATTATTATTTAATTACATAAATATTATATTAAAAAATTTTCAAAAATTATAAATCACATCATTGGTATTTAATACCACAGTTATATTATTATGAAATTAAAAGTTTAATATAAAACTATTAAATATAATTTTATATAAAATTTATAAAGTTTATCTAATCTTAAATTTAAAATTATATATTAAAAATATTTAATAATTGGATTTTTATAATTTTAAATGAGGTTTGTTTTTTATCACACCTGCATTATGTCATACTCCTATAATATGTTACATATAAAAGTCAAAAATGACATTCTAAATCCTTTTTGATATTAAGAAACTTGTAGAGCAGTCAAAAATACATATAGTATAAGGTTTCTTATAGTATATAGTAAATGCATAAGTCTCATGTTAGGATTTTTTAAAAAATGGAAAATTTTAATGAAGTCATATGATTAAAATGATTAATTAATATATAAAAATTTACTAAAAAAGGAAAATGCAACATATCGTAGGTGCGAAAAAAAACATATTTTATTTTAAACCATTTTAATAATATATAATACAAAAAATTTAGGATATTAAATATTACCAGTGGTAATAATTACTGACAATACACAAAAAGTTTTTAAAAAATACTGAAATCTAAAGTAAAATGTCTAAAATCATTCAAGATTTAAAAATTTTACCAGATTTTTCAAAAACCTTTTAGAAAATCTGGCAAAATTTAAATAGATTTTGTACACTGGTTATTGATGGTAAAATTATAATGATATAATCACTGGTAAAAAAATGGTCTATCCTACACATATCCTACACATATCTTACATATATCGGGTACTCAAAATGTAGAAAATCATACATAAATAATACACATATCATATACATATCGGGTACTTATATATATAGTATACCTATCAGGTACCTGATATATGTATGATATATATATTAGTACCCAATATGTGTATGATATGTGTATTATTTGTGTATGATTTTCTACATTTTGAGTACCCAATATGTGTAAGATATGTGTAG